ATAGGTAAGATGCACAACAGGTTATAAGGGGTGCTGCTGAGGCCAACTCCCAGGTGACATGTGGCCAGGAGGCCCTGGGGGACACAAGCTGCCTGTGAGCCCCGTCTGTGCCTGGGCGTGGTCTCCCTTGCCAGAGGGACAAGATGGGCAGCCATGTCTGGCCCCCAGAACGTATCAGAGTGGGTTCAGGAGTGGTGCCCCCAAGCTGGAGTGGGGTTCTCTGGGCTCTTTTTGGCTGGGCCACTGAGCCACTCGGATGTCGTCCCCATCACCTGAAAGACTAAGGACTTGATTCAAGCCACCCAGAGCTTCCTGCACCTGCAGAAACCTGCTACCCATCCACTGCCCACTGGGGGCAGCACATCAGCTCGTGCCCTGAGCTGCTCACAACCCCCGGAGCCCCTCTGCAGGACAGCCGGCACTTGGGCCCTCCCCGGGCGGGCTGGGAGAGGCTCCCTGATCCCTGCTCTACAGGGGCCCCTTCTCCCTTTGCGGGCAGACGCGTCGGCACATCGGAATCCCTCCGCCTGTTCCACACCTGTCTTCCCAACTGGAATGTAAGCCTCGTGAAGGTAGGGACCGTCTTCTGTCACGTTCACTGCTACCCCCGATCCACCCCCCACACAGGGAGTGACAAGGGAGCTCACGCCGAATGCTGAGCCCTTCCCTCTGACGCAGGGCCAGGTGGGTCTGGGCGGGCCGGGTGCCTGCCACCCCGGGCCCCCTGTGTCCCCTCCTCTGAGCTCACAGGAGCCCAGGGCTTGCGGCAGCCCCGCCCCAGCCTGCTGCTCCTGGGGAGGGACCCGAGAGGGTCCAGCAAGGAGGCCACAGAAGCCTTCTGTAAGAAAACCAGGCCAGCAGCAAAGACAGACCCAGCACGCGGCAGGCGTACAGACTTGCTTGCCGTCTCGCGTGCACGTGAGGCGCGTAGGGTTGCTGGCACCTCACCTTACAGAGGAGGAAACGGGCCCAGAGGCAGGGGCAGGCGGGGCTGGGGGTTGAGAAGGGTGACGGGGGGGGGGGGGGAGAGCGCTGAGCCCCCGCCGAGGGGCCGCACCTGTGCGCTGACATGCCGACGGCGGCACAGCCCAGCCTGGGGACCGCGAGCGCCCCTGAGCCGCAAGCCAGCTGTGAGAATGAGTCGGGTGGGAACAACTATTTCCCCGAGTAGGAATCAGCCGTTCCCATCGGCTCGGGACCCGGCGCTGTTCTGAGACTTCACTGAATTAGGGCTCCGCTCCCGACCACCCTGAGGAAGCAGTGTCCTTACCCCACCACACGGGCGAGGAGACCCAGGCACCGAGGGGCGGAGTCAGCTGCCCAGAGTGCCAAGGAGGCCCCTGCCAGGACGCCAGTCCCCTGGCATGCAGTACTGACGTGACACGGACATGGGGAACAGCACAGACGGCCCATGTGGGGCATCCAGAACCCGCCTCCCCGAGCGCCTGCCTCTGCCAGGCTCGGGGTCACGGGGCCTGGCTGTGAGCTGAGGACAGGTGCACAGGGCACGAGGGGCCTGGAGGGGCCTGGAGCGGCAGGGAGGGCTCGCAGGGTGGACAGCGCAGGAGCTGAATGTAGATGGCAGTCAGTCAGAAACTAGGCAAGTCGGGGGAGGAGGGTGACTCAGGTCACCAGGAGTAGAGGGAACCTTCCAGAACATTCTCGGCAGGGGAAGGACATGCTCAGATGGGCTGCAGACGGCAGGGCGACAGGAGCCCGGGAACCCAGCAGTTGCCACCGCCGCGGTCTTGCAGAGGAGGGTCAAGGTCAAGGACACAGACTCCAGGGACGGAGTTGTCTGGGCAACTCCGCGAGGACAGCAACGCCCACTACCTCCCAGGTGTGGCGAGCTACGTCAGCGGGTCAGGGGTGTTGGGCCTGGACGGCGGGGAGGCCAGCTTCTGTCAGGTGCCCAGGGGCCGTGGTGGCGGGCGGGGCGCGGTGACACCCGTGTTACGGACACGAGACCATTCAGCTCGTCGGCTTCGCCGTGGGTCCGCTGGGGAAGCCGTACGTTTTGGGAAGCGCGCACCTCCCCCCTGCTGACGACTCCCTAGGATGAGCGGTCCCTGTGCGTCCCTGGCGTGTCGGGGTCTCCCGTCTCAGGCCCGATCCTGGATGAGTCTGGGGTTCTTCGTTCCTCATCAGTCCAGATCGGGGTCACTTCGGTGGCGCTTCCGGCCTGGTCATTCTCTCTGTTGTTCCCTGCGTCACTCCCCTCCTCACACCCACCCCCTCCAGCTCCTCGTGGCCACCGGTCTCGGGCCCATCTCGTCCTCCAGCACAAGCACCGGGTCGCTCCGACACTGCTTAGTGCATGCTCCCTGGCTGATGATGCGTCCTGACAGCCGTTCGCTTTGAATTATTTTCTAATGAAATCTCATCGACAGACATTCGGAAGGTAGAAGCAAGGACCGGCCTTGGGTGGGGGTGAGCGGCACAAGACGGCTCTCGCGCAGACACCAGCTCACCCCTGGGACAGGGGGAGGTTCAGAGCTCGCGGGGAGGCTCTGGGCTGCCGCGCTCAGCCTTGCGGCCCAGTGCCGAGGATTCAAACCATGGGCTGGCTGAGCGTGAGCAATCCAGCAAGAGTCACGAGGGTGAGGAGAGAGACTCAGGGAGACAGGTCCCTGGGGACCCTCCCAGGCCAGGCCGCCCTCCACTCCCCCCAGGCCGGAAGCCACACGGTTACGGAGCGTGTGAACGCACCCGTCTGACCCGCGGAGGTCTATACCGGCAAGACCCACACCCCCTTCCCGAGACTTGCTACAGAGAGAGAGAAACATCCCGCTGATAGTTTCGTTGATTGCACGTTGAAAAGATACCACTGAGAACACACCACGTTAAAATACGTTATTTAGATGGATTTTGTCCCTTCTCGAATTTTGACGTGGCCACCAGAGTGTTCACGGCTGCGTGGTCTGGCCAGGACCCCATCACGCAACGCTGCCGGCAGGCTCCACCCGCAGGACCAGACTTGCCTTTGAACAAGGCCGGGGCCCCCTCAAGTGTTGGGGCCCCAACCCAGGCCTGGGGCAGGCTTCTTGCCGAATCCCCCCAGGCCAAGTGGGCAGCGGGACACGGACGCCACCTTCCTCAAGCTCCCTGGGTTCGGCAAGCTGCCCGGATGGGTGGTGGTCCCCACAGCCTCAGGCCAGGGCAGGGGCAGCCTGGATGCACGCCGGCCCCTGCTAACCCAGTGAGTGACTGAGCCACGGGCCGCCCGGCTAGATCTGAGCTCCAGGGGGCAGGGCTGGTCTGCGTCGGACGGACGCCTCTTCAGGGCCCGGAGCAGCACCTGGTAATGGAGGTGCTGGTGCAATCCTCACTCATCGAGCGGCGGGCCGGCCCAGGGCTCCTCCTCCCTGGGCGTCTGCGTGATGGGGCAGGACGTGTCGGGAGGGCTCGGGCATCCACCTGAGCTGGGAGCCCGCTGGGAGAGCACCGCCACACTCAGACGGGGACACGGACGGACACACACACACGCACAGATGTGCGCGTGGGGCAGACGAGCTCTTCCAGGGGGCCCTGGACCGGGGCGACCCCGGCAAGCGCTGGATGAGGCCCACCAGGGGGTCCCCGTGCTCAGGAGGGCCCTCCCCTCCCTGCGAACCACCACCCCAGCCCCACCACCGCTGCCCTTGGCTCCCCGGGGCACAGCAGGGATGGGGTATGGTCTCCTCCCCAGGGCCCCATCCGCTGAGGCTGACGGGGAGGCGCGGGCTTGCAAGAGGCGGGCTGTGGGGCTTGGAGGAAGACCCCCGCAAAGCACAGCGCCCAGCTCCGGTCCCCATACGAGGGGTCCCCTGGAACCCACGGCACCCGAGGACTCGTTCCACCCCCCAAACGCCAGGCAGAGCTGCCCCACTCTCCCCACAACAGGGCGGGCCACACTTCTGGCCCTGGGGCCACATTCCGCTGGAGCCCAAGCCTCTCTCTACCCCAGGCCACGCAGGGGCCCATGCAGGTGTGTCCTTTGGCCAACGAGTGATTCGTAACATTAGAATGAGCTGCCAGTTCACGATCTCCAAACCCACAGAAAGACCCAGATTACCAGCTGCCAGATACATCCAAGGTGTGGCCACACAGGACCCTCACTTCCTCAGGGCGACGAGGGTGCCAACAGCCCCCCGCCCCAGGACACAGCCCACGTGGTGCAGCCCCCTCCACCCCAGCACGTGGTCGTCTCCCCAGAATGCACTCCCCTCGGGGACCCGTCACTTTGAACCCAAAGCCGGCTGCGGCCACGGTGTGGGGTGGGGTCCCCTAGGGCCTTGCAGGGGCCCCTCTGGGTTCTCATGGGACAAGAGCTGCTTCCTCAGCACGTCCTCAGGCAAAGAAGAGCATGGGTCCGAGGGCGCCGTGGGTCACCCATGGCGGCGTCGCTCCAGAGGGGAAGAAGTGGGCCCAGCCTAGGGGGGCTGCGGTCGCCTACCCTCTCCTGTGGACCAGCACCGTTTCCCCCACATAGGCACTCAAGTGCCAGGGCCAACACTCCCAGAGCGGAAAGGCCTAGAAGGTGGCGGCGGCGGCACGGTTCACACCTGCCTGACCCCACCCACGAGCCTGCACAGAACCAACAGGGAAGATTCCAGCACTTCGGCCCTCAGGTCAGCAGGGCTCCGGGGCGGGGCGAGGGAGGGGCGGTACAGTCCACGACAAGCCTCCGAGGCCTCTTCTGCAGCCCCCAGAGAAAGACCCCTTCTAGAGCAGGGACTCCGAGGAACACGAAATGGTGTGAGGGCCGGGCCGGCCACGGAGGCCTGGACAGCAATTAAGGCGAGCGCAGTGCCCCCCCCCCCCCACCGAACACACATCACACAGCATGGCGAGCCGTGTCCAGGCCCTGCACCCTTCCCCGGGCAGCCCCTCCCCGGGCACCTCCTCCCCAGGCTGCTCTCCTGGTGCTCAGCAGGTGTGCAGGAAAGGGAGGCAAGTCCAGATGTGCAGAAAACCACTTGTGGGAATAAGTCGGTTCACGGATGACACACACTCACTGATGCTGTTATAAAAATAATGGCACGGCACTTTTTATTTTCTTTAATCAGAAAAATAAGCCCCGCGTTTCTGGGAGGGAGACCCGGGTGAGGACCAGATGCCTGAGGGCCCTGCTCTGGGCGGACCCCACACCCAGCCAGCCAGGACCCCAAAGGGCAAGAGGGGTGGGGTGGGGCACCTCCGAGGCCTTCGCAAACAGGATCAGCACGCGAGTGGCCGTCGCAGCCCCGTGAGACTGGGCACAGAGAAGGCTGGTGGGAGCACAGCCGGGCCACCCTCAGGTGGCTGATGCTCTCCAGAGAGGGCTGCGGTCCCCTCTCCCAGAGACCCTCAAATCCCGGAGAGTCAGAGCCGAGCCCTCGCCTCACGCCCAGGACTCCGGGAGCACCAGTGTGGGACTGCCCCGAGCCAGGGGTCTGGGGTGAGGAATGGGCAACCCCTGAGCACAGGTGTGGGGTGGGCGGAGGGCAGGCAAAGCCCTGTAGTGTGAGGTCTGTCCCAAGAGGGAAGACCCTGGGGGGCTGGCAGCTGACGGCTGCACAGGCTGAGTGGGAGGCCGGGAGGAGGCGCTCCGAGAACAGCCTGGGGCCCTCCTGGTCCAGAGCTGGGGGGGATGGGACACTCTGCCTCTGCTTCAGTGCTTGGCCTCCTTCAGTGGAGGCGGGGCGGGGGGGGGGGGCCCTCCTTGTCACCACCAGTTCCTAAGCGGCCACAGACAGCCTGAGCGCCCTGGCATCCGTCCCCTCCCTGCATTCACAGAACCCGGGAGGTGGACACACATCCCCACCCTGGGCTAGAGGGGAGGCGAGCGGGACCTGTGGCTGGGCCCCAGAGGAGCCCGCTTCCGGCCTAGGGGTGGGGGATGCGCGCTGGCCAGCTGGGTTGGGGCCCAAGGAGCGCCAGGCCTGCAGCCGGCAAGCCCCACGGCACGTATGCACACACACCACGTACATGCACGCACACGCTGCACACAAACACTTGAGGGGCAGCACACACCTGGGGCGGGTGTGCACAAAGACTCCGACACACAAGGACACGTGGGCACTTCGGAGGCACAGAGGCACCGAGACCCCCTGCGGGGGGCAGCCGTGTTCGCTCTCTTAGGGGCGTGTACATCACAGGGTAGCGGGCACGATGGGGGCGGGTGGGAAGATGCTGGGGGTCCTCTCCCCTCCTCCTGGTGCAGGTGGGCCTCAGCCCAGTGGCGGCTCTGCAGGGGGCTGCCTCTGCTGAAACCTCAGTTTGCAACCACGAACGGCCCGGCCTGTCTGGCGAAGGCCTCTGGCCAGTCTTGGCAACATAGGTGCCCAGCACAGCCACACCCAGGGTGGTACAGAAACCGGGCATCAGGCTCCAGGGCTCACAGATGGGGCCTGGCGGGCCACCGCAGGGGTGGAGGACCGAGTCCGTCGTGACCTCAGGGGCCTGCAGGGCCGGCCCGCTGCCAGGAGTGAGAGCTGGGGCTGATGGGCCCGCACCAGGTCCAGCAGGGAGCGCCGCGGCTGGCTCAGGGGCCCCAGGAGGGGCCGGCGGGGCGGAGCAGGCCGGCCCAGGAGTGACGGGGGCTCAGGGATGGGGAGTAAAGGCTGGGGTTTGCAGGGCTGGCCGGGGCCCAGAAGTGACTGCAGGGGCTGGCACGGCTGCTTTGGGCCCAGGAGTGGCCGCTTTCGTCGGCAGGGCTGTTCTGGGCCCAGGAGTGGCCGCTTGGGCAGACGGGGCTGTTCTGGGCCCATGAGTGGCCGCTTTTGTTGGCACGGCTGTCCGGGGCCCAGCAGCGAAGGTTTCGGGGGGCCAGGGTGCTCTGGGGCCTCAACTAACTGCTGGGGCTGACTGAGGCCCAGCAGTGACCCCTGGGGGCGGCTGGGCTGGCCCAGGAGGGACCTCCGGGGCTGGCACGGGGCTAGGAGCACCCGCCGGGGGCAGCAGCACTGGCCCGCAAGTGAGGCGGCGGGCCGGCGGCGTGGACGCAGCAGGAGGAGTGACTGTGGGGGCCGGCCCCGCTGTCCTGAGGACGCCCGGCTGGGCTGGCCGCGGAGACAGGGAGCCACCCATGACCGCAGGGGCCGGCAGCGGTGCCAGAGGGCCAGGAGGGACCGCAGGGGCCGGCAGAGGTGGCACGGGGCCAGCAGGGACCGCAGGGGCCGGCAGAGGTGGCACGGGGCCAGCAGGGACCGCAGGGGCCGGCAGCGTTGCCTGGGGCTTAGGAGCCCCCAGCGCGGCCGGCAGGGCTGAGCCAGGAGTGACCGCTGGGGCCGGCAGTGCTCATCTGGGGCTGGAAGCAGCCGCTGGGGCCGGCAGGGCTGACCTGGGCCCAGAAGTGACCGCCGGGGCCGGCAGGGCTGTCTTGGGCCCAGAAGTGACCGCTGGGGCCAGCTGCGCTGACCCGGGAGTGGCGGCTGGGGCCGGCAGGGCTGCCCGGGGTCCGGGAGAGCCCGACGGGGCTGGCAGCGCTGACACGGGGCTGGGGGTGACCCCTGGGGCTGGCTGGGCTGGAGCTGCTGCTGGAGCTGGGCCGGGCCGTTCTGGTCCCAGTGGCTGGCTGGGAGCGGCCCCCCTTCTGGGGAGCACACCTGCTGGAAGAAAGAGCACGTGTCCACCCGGGCAGGCGTGCCTGCACACCCCCCGACCAGCCCGGGGCCCGGAGACATGCTGCCCCTCACCAGCAGCCCAATCCCCAAGGGAGCTGAAGGGGAGCCTGGAACAGCGAGAAGAACCCCTCTCTGAAAACAAGGCGCAAACCAGCGAGTCCCCGAGGAGGAGAGCAGCTGCAGGACCGAGCCGGCAGCCGGGACACAGCCCCTGGTCCCAGGCTCCCCGTCCCATCCCGGCTGGGCTCTGGGGACAGCGAGGACGGCCCCTCCCGCCATGGGGGGAGGCCCCTGGGCGGGAGGGGCTGCGGAGGGGCTGCTCCCCGCACCTGGACCCCTGCCGGGGAAGTCACGTGGCCCCCCCCCTCCCCCCACAGGTACGCTGCGCTCCACAGACGTCCGGCAGGCGGAGAGCACCCAGCACTGAACCTGGCCCCCCGCGCATTACAGACACGCCGGACACCCCGCGGTCGGCGGAGCCTGACAGACGCGATGGGGAAACGGGGCCGGCCTAGCAGCGGGTGCGCCCTCCTGCCCCGAGTGCACGCTCCCCCACCCCCAGTGCCTGCGCTCCCAGCCCGGCCTCTCCGGCTGGGACCCACCGGGGGCGGGCCTTCCGTCTGCTCGGGCCCCAGGCTCACGGTGAGCAGCTGCCTGGGGCCCCAGCCCACGTGTGCCCCGCACCCCCTGCCCCAACAACGATGGAGCACGTTGCCAGGCGGGCCCGGATGCCGACGGCGGTGTCCAGGTGCTGGTGTGGCCCCGAGGGCGCAGAGACCACGGTTCTGAGTGGGGGCGGGGCCCGGGGCTCACCTGCTTGGTGGGCTGCAGGGGGACCTTCTTCTTCCCCCGGTCGCAGGCAGGCTCCAGGTCCTGCTCAGGGCTGCCCATCTCCAGGGGCCGCCCGTTCTCGCTTGGTTCTGCAGACGGGCAGTTTTCTGACTCACGGGGCTTCTTGGCAAGGCGACGCTCCCATTTCTCCTTCCGCTCGTGTGGCTTCAGGGCCATGTCCTTCTGCGAGTGAAGAAGGACAAGGCCGGTTAATTGGCAGTGTCATCCCTCCAGTGACACCGTGTCGGGCCATGCTGTGCTGAGGGCGGGCCCGGGGTGTGTGTGACCGCACCCGCCTGAAGGCGCCAGGCCCCCCTGCTGGGATCACAGCTCAGGAGGAGGGGCGGACGGGGCGGGGGGCGGGACTTGGGTGGGCCTGTCAGGACAGGTGGGGGGCAGGGGGAGCTGCAACAAAGCTGCATAAGGGAGCAGGCTTCCCAAGGGGCACCACCTGGTCACAGGGGGCCCTGATCCTTGGCCCGGAACTGGGCGGGTGCCGGGACCGATGGCTGCACGGGCCCTGGTGAGGCGCAGCCCCTGCCTAGGGTGCCCTGGGTTCCGGAACTGCAGGCCGTGCCCACAGCACATGACGACCGGCCCCTGGGGCAACCCGGGGATCTACCTGCCCACCCAGCTGCACGCAGCCTGGCACCCTGATATCACGGAGGCCCGTCTTAGGAAATCAGTCCCAGACTCGGCCAGGTGTGCAGACCTCCAGGGACCCCAGGCCCCTCCCTAGAATGGGGACTTGTGCCCATCTCGTTCGTAGCTGCACCTGGTGCCCAAGGCAGGGCCCGGCACGCAGCGGGTATTTACCGAGCATGTGCCGTGCAGATGCCAACAACAGCAGCCGGCTCTCATGCCCCGCGGGGTCCCCGCACCACCGAGCACTGCTCCTGCTCTGCAGAGGTGGTCCCGCACCCAGCACACCTGCAGTCCGGCCAGTGAGCCCAGAGCCCAGGAGGGCCTGGCATTGCTTGGTGGTGGGCAGGTAGAGTGTCACCCGCCACCCTCCTGCTTGGGTCCGTGGGGTGGGGTGGGAGGCACCGTCCCCACTGGGCTGCCGAAGAAGAGGGAGGGAACCTCAAAAAGGGACCCGGAGGGTTCTGAAAGCATTCACCCCAGGGGGAAGGGAAGAGGGCCCGGATGATAGTGATGCCCACGGCGGAGAGGCTCTCCCACATCCCAGGTGACACCCTCACGTCCCCACGGGAAATGCTGCCTGAGGCCTCTGCTCTCGGGTGGGCACCCGGCCACCGCCAGGCCTCAGGGGCCTCAGCCCACCCGGGTAGGTGGCAGCAAGAACCAAATTCCCAGTCTGTTGCGGTGCCCTGGCCTGGCGACGGAGACAGGGACACGCTGTTCCTCGTCCGGCGAGGTCCTCCGACCCAGCGCCAGCGGCCCCACCAGGCTGGCCGGACTAGAACCGTCTGTCCGGGCACGGAAGCTCCCGTGACTGTCTCGCCCCATGTGACTCCACAGCCTGGGCCGGGAGCAACCACACACATGTGGGGGCGCAGACTCCCCCTCACGTAGGGTGGGACGCCCCACGCCCCCAGGACTCTCCTGAGGGGCCTGAAATCACAGTCACACAGACGGAGGACAGCCCCTCAAAGCCTCTCACCTCTGAACTGACGCTAAAGGCCGAGCGTGCACCCTCCTGCGCCCCTCCCCGCTCCCTAGGGCCAAGGGGCAACGAACAGGAAGGGAGAGGGAGACCAAGCTGGCACCCGTCCTGGGACACCTCTCGGTCAGGGACTGTCCCTCGCTGAAGCTCCGCCCTAAGTCTGATGCCCACCTTTGCCCAGGCTATAGGGCTCTGCCCAGAGCTCCGCGGGCTTGTGACACAGCAGCGGGTGGACCCTCACTTCCCAGATGGGGCAGACCGTTTCCTGCGCCCGCCCTCTGGAATCTCAGACCCCAGGGACACCGCGGGTCGCTGGCGTGTCTATAGCCTGTCCTGGAGTCCTGGTCACAAGTCCTCGTGCCCCTCTGAAGTTCCTGGCGCCCCTGCTTATCTCAGCACGCAGGGGCCACTCCCCCACACCCCAACATGGCGGCCCTGCTCACACCGAGACCTCCGCGCTCCCTCCCTATCCGTGGGTATCAGGCGGACTCTGGACTCTGTGGCCCCCCCCCCATCTGCATACACAAAGCCGGTGCTCAGCACTGACTGTGCCAGTCCAGGCACCGGTGACCAGCTCAGAAGGGAGTTGGCCCAAAGGGACAGGAGGGCAACCCAAGCAGGGGAGCTGAAGGGAAGGGCCCACTTGAGAGCTGCTTAGTGAGGACCCATGGGAGCCGCCCAGAGAGGAGCAGCCAGTGCAAAGGCCCTGAGGTGGCAAGGAGCTCCATGCTCCCTCTCTCAGGCCTGCCTCCCTGGCTCATACGGCCACAGGCGTCCCTGGGGAGGACAACCGAGGCAGTCCCTCCAGGGACGGGAAGGTCTCGGTAAAGACCGCAGCCCGCTCTCCGCGTGCAAGGCTCTGAATAGTCATGGGCTCCTGGTGCCCCCACAACACACGAGTGCCGTGCCTCCTTCCAGATAGTCTCGCTCCAACTCGTAGCCTTCAGCCTCCTGCCCTGGGTCGCCGTTGCTGCTAACAGGCCGTTCCCTCCCACACAGGCCCTAGAGAACAGCGAGGCCCCCACCAGATGCTGCCAGTCAACTGCAGGGTGCCAGAGCCTCAGAACCTCACCGCCCCTGCCTCGGACACCCTGCCCGGCCCCAGCCTCCCATCGCGGGACGGAGGGTGGGCCCAGCAGGCTGTGTCAGAGCCCGCGATGCTGTAGGGGCGTACCGGCCAGGGCTTTCCGGAGAAAGAGAGCGGCAGGGCACATGTATGTGGGGAGCCTCGCTAGGGGGAGCCAGCTACACAACTGTGGGGGCCCGGATGCCCCGAGGTTCGGTGTGGATTCCCTCCCCGGGGCCGGAGAAAACCCCTGTCCCGGCTCGAGGCAGCAGGAAAAGCCGGGCCTTTCTGTTCTGTTCAGGCCCTCGGTCGATCAGATGGGACGCACACACACGGGACAGGGTTCACAGATGTACATGCTAGCCTCGTCCAGAGACACCCTCACCGAATGTCCGGGCCCCTGGGGGACGCTGACCACATCAGGGCAGATGCGGACACAACCCCAGGTGTGTGTGGACAGGACGAGGAGGGCGGGAGTCGGAGGCATACCACCACGCACGCACACACGCAATGCTCACACAGGTGCACACTCGCACAGCCCGGGGGAGTCCCCGAGCAGGACAGGGGAGGGGTCTCTGCCAGGCCCGCCCTGTGCCGTAGCCCCACTGGATGGGCTCCGGGGCCCCACCCCAGGCTCTCCATGCCCAGGTGTGCGCACACCACGCGCCCACCATGCGCCACCCACCCCTCCGTACCGCCGCAGAGAGCAGCCCGCCCCCCCCCCCGCCCCAGATTCCTGGGGGCCGCCGCCTCCTGAGAGAAGTGGGCATCCTCCCACTGCGTGACTCCACACGGCCACACGGCACGCTCCTGAGTCACGGTGAGGTGAGTCCCCCGCAGCCGCTTGTTCTGACGGAAGGAGCAGGAACGGCTTCTAGGACCTTCCTAGAAGGTCTAGGTAAGCCCACAGACACGGTTTCTGGCCCGGGAGCCAGCCTCTGAAGCTCCCCCCTCCCCCCGTCGGAGCCCTGGGGGGATAACAGGCCGGCCGCGGGGCCGCGGGGCACGCCATCGGCAGGAGCAGAGCCCAGCACTCGTTAACGTCTCACTACGGACCACACGGAACCCGTGGGAACAGCCTGCCCCTCGGGGACACTGGGCTGGGCTGGGATCCGTCTTTCTAAGGAGCACTTGTAATCAAAACAGACACAACGGGATAGATGGACGGAAGGGCAGACGCGCTGCAGAGCACGTGTGGTGAACCGTCAACCGCAGAGCGGGCCGTGGGCTCCACGAAGGCCTCCGTCTAGGCCCTGCCTCCGCCCCTCTGTGGGTTCCGGAATGGCCTCGGGGCAACTCCAGGCCACCTCTCCAGACACACCCAGTCACCACATCTCTCACGCGTCGGTCAGCCACAAGCCATTCAACGCCTCACACCTTCTGTAAACCCGCTATGACCCTGCTTGTGTCTTCTGAACAACAAACCGGGAAACTAAACTGTCAGAACCCTTGAAGTATCAGTGACGGGGCCTCCCCCCCCCCCCCCCCCCGCCTGGACTGGGTCCAGCTCCATCCCGCCCACAGCCGGACACCCTCGCTTTCCTGGGCTGGAGGCCGCGGGCCAGTGGGGGCAGGTGAGGCCCTCGGGCAGGAGCTCCCGTGTCTGGAAGAGCAGGGGAGCCGGGAAGGCGCCTGGCCGGGGCCCCCCGCAGAGGGCGAGCCGGCAGGCGGCAGGCCCCGGCGACACCACAGGCTCCCTTCCTGGCTCCAGCAGGCAAGAGGCCCGGTGCCGCACCGGGATCCAGAGGCGGCTGCCTCCCACCCAGCCACTGCCCTGAGAGCGGCCCCAGGCATCTCTGAGCTGTGCGTCCTGGGGGCTCCCAGCCACAGGACTCAATAGACCCTGCCTCGGGGCACTGCTGCCACGTCTGGCTGGCCCTTACCCGGCACCGCCAGGCCGGGGCTGGCCCTCCCTCGCTATGCGGACCCCGACCCCACGCGAGGCAGGGCCAGTTCTGGAGGCTCGCCCAAGCCCAGGTGCACGCTGCCAGAGTTCTGCGCCCTCTGAGCCTGCTGTGGCGGCAGTGCTGCCCCTGGTCCCAATCGCGGGGCCCCCCTCATCACCCGACTGGGACAGCTGTGCCCAGACTGTGCCGACCGCCCTGGGCGGGGCCAAGCCGTCACAGCAACGATGGCCCCACCAAGGGCCAGGGCACGTCCGCAAGCAGAGAGACCCTCTGGAGAGATCCGCAGGGAGGGAGGCCAAGGCGAGCAGTGGGCTGGTGTCTGAGCCATGGGACACGCGGTGCGCTGCTCGGGGACCCACGCCACGCACCCGGAGGAGCGGAGCGCGCGCCCTGCCGAGGCCGCAGCGATGGCGTGGGGCGAGCCGGGACCACCTCCAGCGGTCAGGGTCAGGGCCGGGTCATGTGTTCACGGGCTGCCTTCTGCCCACAGACCCGTCTGTGAGCCGCACGGACAGAAGGGCAGATGTGGCCAAACACGGCGGTCCCCCACCCTCGAGGCCTGAGGCGACGGCCCCACGGCGATGCTCCCAGCGCCCCCAGCAGCAGC